TTTTTTTTCTTTCTCTGTGCCTGGGTGGATAGATTGCTTTCTTGGAAGAACTGATATGCAGCTTGTTATTTCGTGTCCACAAAAACTATATTTTCCTTTCTGTTGTACAGGGTTTTATACTATAGATTTATCTATGAAAATAACAGATATTGATATTGTTAAAGTGTTTCTTTTTTAAAATACTTAAGAAATATAAAATCTTAAAGATTTTTCTGCATATGTACATTCTTTGGTAAAATATGGTTCCTTTGTCTATTTCAATAAGACTCCTGTTGTTTTTATCTCTTTTACTTGGAGAATAATATTTTGTATTGGCAGCTCTCAATAGTATATAATTAAAGTTTAACTTTTCTGATGTTAGTTTTTGATGATGATGATCATAACCAAGCCAGTTTTAATGGATATTTTCAGGTATGTCTGCAGTCTTGTGTACTATGGCTTAACATTGAATGCTGGTGAATTAGGAGGAAATCTTTACCTAAATGTAGCTCTGTATGGCCTTGTAGAAGTTCCAGCATTTCCACTCTGTATGTTCTTTATTGAGAAACCCTGGTAAGAATACTAACTTTCTAGTTTTCTGACTATACTGTAAGGTTAGCATGATATTATATATGGAAAAGTTTATGTTATATTTTATAGTAATATACAGCCTTGCACTTTTGAATTTCTTCTTTTGGAATGCAGTCCCCCATAGGGGTTTACTGTTCTTACTCTTTTTCCTTTAGTTGCACTCCACTTTCCTATTCTTTATTCCCTGAACTTTTCAATGTTTAGTGTGACTCAGTGCTATTTTTTTTACAAATCTGAGTTAACACCGTTAGGATGGCTGAGTAGCTTGCACCTCCTGTATGTTTTGCTCACTAACTTTTGCACACAGATGAGAGAGGGTACAACTTTGAATCATGTTCATTTTTAATTAAACTTAGAAAATCAAGCCAGGTTTGTAGAAAAAGGGCCTCAGTATTTAAGGTCTCAAATATTTGAAGTTCATACTTCTTCAGATTTCTACCTGTATTTTTAGTCCCACAGTCACAAAAATATTTGTTAGCTCCAAAGGCTAACTAGTCAATCTGGAGGCCCTGAGTTATACAGGACTGTAGTCCGTCTGCGGTTTGAGAAACTTTAAGTGAAATCCTGGTCTTACTGAAGTCATTAAAGAGCAAACGCTCTTTAATTTTAGTGGGATTAGGGTTTTATCTTTTAAATTTTCTTGGTAGCTTTATAAGCTCAGTTAGATTTTTCCAAGTTAAAAATAATATGAATTACCTATGTTTAAACTGCATGACACACATTAGTGTATTCTGTTCAGAAGATATATTCCAGTGATTTAACAACTTTTTTTGCCTGCTATCATGAAGACATAATGATTTAACTCAAAATATAGGTGTAAATAGTTGTACCAGTTTAATAGATATTAATACCAACAAGACAGTTAGCTCAGAGCTTCTGTTATCAGCTTTAAAATACAATCAATATATTAAGGAAGTCTAACATTTTTGTTGCAAAGGGTTAATTAAACATGTTTTCAAAGACAAATATTGTATCTTGATAATAAAAAACTAGAATTGTGACACATGTAGGAGAGGCTGCATGCTCACATTCATATCATCCAAGAGAGCTCTCCAGGTTTGTACAGAAATTTAGACAGAAAAGCAAAGAGTGCACCTGCAGTGAGGATGCTGGGCTGCCAGGGGTCCCTAGAGCAGGTAGCCCAGAAAGCTTTGCAGCCTTTTATTTTTAAATGCATGTAGGTGAGGCTGGGCAGAGAGTATTTCAGGCAGGGGACAAGGCCAGAGCAGAACATGCCCTCTAAGTGCTTCAGTGCTGGGCTTTTCCACCCCTGAGCACTCTGTGGGGAGGGGGGTGTTCTTCTAGCTTCTTGGCTGAGACTGACACATGCTCTCCCTCCTCCTTTTGGAGAGGGGAGAGATGGAAGCAAAGCACACTGGGATTGTGGAGGTCAGCTTTTCATGTGCTGCCTGTACAGAAGTTCTGTCTCCCGAGAGAGATTCTGTGGGAAGCCACTTCACTTGGGTTGTTATTTTTCTCTGAGTGGCCACTTGTATGCTAGGAGAAAAATAAAAATTTTCATACACTTGTGGTTTCTCCTGAGAGGACAGGGACTGCCTGGAGAAACTGAACATCTGTACTAGCCCTTAGAAATATCTAAGATTTTACTGCATAAAACTTAACTAGTAGATACACAGAAACCTGACAGTCTCTTTTTTTCAACTGAACCATCAATTATTATTGAAAATAAGATTTATTTATGTATTTATTTATTTATAATTCTTTCTAAATAATTATCAGTTTTGTATACATTGCAAATCTGGAGCTGATTTGTGACGGTCAGACTTACTTCCCTTTTATGCCAAAGTGAAGGGCAACAAATATGAAGCCATACATACTCCTATTATCATGTAAAGAAAAATTGCATATATAGTAGCGTTGCTTTTTGTTTTATATCATAAGCAACAATACAAGAATATTAAGATTGCAAAGGCAGATACACAAAGGTTAAAAAAGACAAAATTCAGTTTTCCTGTCCAGCCTTCTTGATATGCCTTGTGACACTGTCTTTTTATTATGTGCTCAAAGAGAGAACCCCTACCTCTTTCAGTGCACCAGGTGCATTGTTCTCGGGGAGCAAATCAAGGCTGTGCAGTGAATAAAGCTGCTGCTTGTAAGACTCTTGAATCATTGCCGCAGATGTTGTTATATTAACAACAAATTTGCTTCATTTTTTTTTACAGCTTTTGCTAGAAATGTTTTCTGGGAAGACTAACATATTGCTACTCAATAAAGTAATTAATTGAAGCCACTGTCTGAAAAGCCATACGGTATATAACTGTTAGTGCTGCCATCCTATATTGTGTTTGGCCCTTTATAGACAAATACAAAAAGGCACATTGCCTGTGTTGAAGAATTTATAGTTTTATCTAACCATCTGTCCATTTTCCTTTTAGGTCTGGAAGACGTAAAACTATGACTTCTTTTCTAATATTTGCAGGATTTGCCTGTATAATCACCATGCTTTTACCTGAAAATGCTGGTGAGTATATGCTGTTGTCAAAGTAAACCTGAGCCTAGTCTAAGCTAATTAGAGAGACTAATTTACAGTTAAACCCAACTAATCTGTTAGGCAATTAGGGAGTTTACTAGAGACAAGGTATCTCTTGGAGGTGTTTGTGCAATAAGCGGACATGGCTCAAAGTAGTGAATATATATCATTATGACAAACAGCATTTCATAGTTATTACAGGAATTTAAAAATACCTGTAGAAATTTCAGTTTAGAGGCTCAAGTTGTCTAGTCTTTCTGTATACGTTTTATTTCAACTAATGTAGTAATTTTTAACAAGGGTTCCACAAGATAGTTTTACTGACATCATGTAATATTAGCATTTGTAGGTGTGCAAACAGTGCAGTGTAAGATTCATGAGATAAACCCATGGATTTCAAATAGGACTCCATAGTGTCAAAAACATTCTGAACTGTTATGGTTTTTCTGGTCCTACTATCTAAGGTATGTTCTCAGGTCTTGTATCTTTTAGCTTCAAATTAGCAGTATGCTGTAAGTTATTACAGAATTTTAAACACTGGGAGCAACAGCAGTGACCTAATCACAAGCTATGCACCTACAGTTTGTTGTGCATAACCCCACTTGACCTTCTTTCTTTCTTTCTTTCTTTCTTTCTTTTTTTTTTTTTTTTTTTTCAATGAAAGCAATTTTTTAAAATCTGAGCTTGCATTCCGTTGGGTAGTTAAAAAAGAAAGTTGATTTTATTACAGTGGATTTTCAATTATAATTAGATGCTAAACACCTCATATCCCCACATATCAGCCAGATTTCTAAATAGCTTGCCTCATTTATTAACCAAATCTCATCTCAACCCTTTCATATGGGGAAAATTAAGTAAGAACAATCTAATTCATTAAGGGTGTATTCTCTAATGAAGGGTAAGAAATTTAAATTTGGTCAAGTAAAAACAGGTTTTCCCTTCCTTCCTACTCACTTGGGATTAATAGTATTTAGCAGGGATCCTGGTTTTTTGTTTAAAAATCCCAAATGCACTGATAACCCCTCCAAATTCTCTGATTTAAAAACAGCAAAATCCGTGTTTTTCCGCAATTACAATGAAACACCACTCTCTTTCTCTCAGTTTAACTTTACTAATACATTTACAATTTAAAGCAGTTTGGAAGCCTACCAGTGCCTCAGTCATTATAATAAAATAAATTCTAAATACCTATCTACTCCGGTGTTTGCTTTTTGGTTTTTTTTTATCATAGAAAATCAGCACTTCCTCTGCCCCATTGGTCACAAGGATGCGTGCCCAACTGTGGCTGTCTACTCCACTGCTTTGTGGCGCTGAGCAGCCCTGATATGCTGGTGTCTTGCCCCTGCCATTGCCTCTTACTCCCAACCCACAGCCCCTCCAGCACTGCCAGTGCCCCTCACTCCCGATCTGTAGCACTCTGCCACCCCCCAAGCCCTGCCAGAGGGGGACCCCAGCTACCAGAACTATGGAACCTGGGGCAGGGCCCGCAGCTCCCTTCCCCCCCAGCAGCACCCAAGCCCTGGCTGCCACGTATAGGAAGTGGCAGCTGCTGCGACCAGAGCTGAGCAGAGTCCGTGGGGTATGGGGGAGCATACGGGCTGCCCACTGCAGGGTTTGGGTCTCCCTGCCCTGGGGGCCTTTGTGGCCCAATGGATGGGACCTGGCACAGGAGGGTGGAGCATGATGGGGAGGTGGGCATGGTGAGCTGTCATGGATTCATAGATGTTAGGGTCGGAAGGGGCCTCAATAGATCATCGAGTCCGACCCCCTGCATATGCAGGAAAGAGGGCTGGGTCTAGATGAACACAGCTA